ATGGGCAGAAGGATTTGGAGTTCTCTCTGGAGACAATGGCCAGCCCAAAAGACAACACCTACAGACATCTAAGGGTCGTTAAAGAAAAAACAGAGCAGGACAGCAGGTAAAATGGTAAAAGCACATTTAACCAGAAACCATGACAAAAGGCAGGGAAAGACAGCATTTGGCATGGCACAGCTGTTGGGCGTGCCACCCTCCATCAGGGCATATACCCCCATTGCCGGTTCGAACTCTCTTTCCCTTCCCTTCTGATAATAATAAAAAATATATTTTAAAAAAGTAGAACAGGGCTCAGTTCCGAATACAGCAAGCACGAGTAGGGCTTTGCAGCCCAGGCGCAGGTGGGAGTCAGTGTGGGAAAATACGAAGTGGAAACATCAGGGGTGGGAGGGCTTCTGAGTTGACAGGAATCCTGCTGAAGGCAGGTGGGATGGATAATCAGCTGGGATGATTGGGATGATCGGATATCAGAGGGAGGAGAGAAAGGAGCAGTGAAGAGTTTGAAAAGATTTCAGGGTTGGGAGTTAAACTGACTTAACAAGATTATTGCTAAAACTGGGCAAGGCAGGACTGGCTGGGATGGGATTAGTTTAGAGAAGCCTGGCTAAAATCTGATCAAGGAGAGTCTTTGTCAGGATTAAGTTACGAGAGATAACTAATGAGATCCCCACATAGCAAGTCCCATGCACCCCCCAATCAGCTCCTGTGCCTCTGACACAATGATTGCCAGGTGTCAGGGGAAAACTGTAAACATGAACGTCAAAATCCACATTTTTAAAAATTACTTACTTATTTAAAACAATTAAAAACAGAGAGAAGGAACTCAGGGAGAGCTATGGAATGCATAAAACTTAAGAGGGTTTTTAAAGACAACTATAGCCGGTGCTGGCAAAGGTATACGGAAATATGAACTCTTGTGCAATGAAAAATAATGTAGCAGCTATGAACAACAGTATGGTGGCTCCTCAAAATATATAAACAGAATTGCCATGTGATCCAGTAATTCCACTTCTGGTTACAGCTCCAAAAACAATTGAAATCAGAGTCATTGCAGCATTAGTCACAATAGCCAAAAGGTGGAAGCAGCCCACGTGTCCATCAGCGGCTGAGGGGGTAAACAAAATGTGTTCTATACATACAATGGAATATCCTTAAAAAGGAAGGAAATTCTGACATATGCTACAACGTGGAGAAACATTGAGGACATTATGCCAGTCATAAAAGGACACATACTCTATGATCCCACTCATATATATGAGGTAGCTACAGTAGTTAAACTCATAGAGACAGAGGGTTGAATATAAATGTGCTTGTCAGGAACAAGGAACAGGGAGAAATTGGGAGATATTGTTTAATAGACGCAAAATTTTGAGTTTACAAGATAAAAAGTTCTGAAGATGGGTTATACAACAATTGAATATGCTTAATATGAACTTAAGAACACACTTAAGATTAATTAAGGGGGTAAACTTTGTGTGTTTTATCACAATTACAATCAAAGCAATTATAAGTAACATTCTTAGAGATAATATTATGTCCATGAACAAGAATAGAATGCTATAAAAAAAAAAAAAGACATTGCTCTTAGAAGTGAAAAATTACGAGAAGAGATATGAAAAAATCTAATAGAAAAGTTGGAAGGTTAAGTTGAAGTAATGGCCCAGAAAATAGAACACACATTTTTTAAAATGAAACATTTGGAAAGGACATTTTGAAAAATTAGAGTCTCAATCCAAGAGGTTCTAATATCCAACTAAATTAGAAAATAAACAAATCCAGAAAACAGAGTGGAGGAAATTAGCCCAAAGGAATGTCCCCAAAATTGATTTCCAGGTTAAAAGATATTGATTTACAGACTAAAAGACCCACCAAGTGCTCAGAGTATATGCACATCAGTATGAAACTTTAGACCTCTGGAAAATTCTAGAAACTGCCAGAGAGAGAAAAATTGGCTCACACATACATGATTAGGTATCTGAATGTCATTTGACTTTTCAACAGCAGCCATGAATCATGTCCTCCGAAATCTGAGGGAAATTTATTTCCAATCCAGAATTCTACACCCAGCAGAACGAACCATCAGTCAAAGCTACTGGACTATAAGCTCTGCCAAAACAAGAAAATAAATCAGGGCAGGGTGGAGGGAGTGGGGCAAAGGATCCAGAAAACTGGATCCAGCCCAGGAAAAAGGCAGAGGAAATTCCTAGGATGGTAAGCAAAGCAAAGTCCCAGGACTATAGCCACACAGGTCTATAGAGTAGTCCAGATGGGAGCCCAGAGAGGATACCTCCAAGTGGATGCATCTCTAAGAAACACGAGACTTAGTCCTAACCTGTTTGGCTCAGTGGATAGAGCATCAGCCTGCAGACTGAAAGGTCCCGGGTTCGATTCTGGTCAAGGGCATGTACCTTGGTTGGAGGCACATCCCCAGTAGGGGGTGTGCAGGAGACAGCTGATCGATGTTTCTAACTCTCTATTCCTCTCCCGTCCTTTCTGTAAAAAAAAAAAAAAAAAAAAAAAAATCAATAAAATATATTTTTTAAAAGAAAAAAAAAGAAGCATAGAGACCTAAAGATCATCCGGTGTGTTCGTCTGGCTGACAGTTGGGAGATGAATTGGTGACAGGTATGCCAGGAAGCTTTGGGTTTCTTTGATTACATGCTTCTGGAAAAGTAAAAAAGTTGTCCTTGGAAAAAGCTCCCATCTTTGCCTCAGTCATCACTACTTCATCGGCATGCAGTGGAATTTTTTCTTTGTTCAATTTAATTTTGATTTCTTTGTATTAGTTTAAAAAGTCACACAGCTGGTTTATAGGAAACACAATTTAATACCCATTAATCCGCCCTAGCTGGTTTCCCTTGGGTCAAAAACCACCCAAGTCCATTCTAAAAAGAGGGCTGGTTGAGTTAATGGCTTCCTTAGATCCTGGGGGGCTAATGTGGCCCCATGAAAAGCACTCGAATGATCCCTGGGCTTCTCAGAGTCTGCTCTCTCGTGGGGAAATGAGGTCACATCTACATCTCCGGGAGAGAACAGAAGGAGACTTCCATGTCCTTCCGGTGCAATTTTTACCACAAGCACAGATCACTTTTGTAACCAGCCGAAGGCAGTTAGAGACGTTTCCACATTGTAAATAAAATAACGTGAGGCTGCAGTAGACCAGGAATCTGTGGGGCCCTCCAAAGCTAAGATCCCGTCACTCTAAGTAATTTCTTGTTCTTTATTTGCGTGTCATTTTAGGAGCATGCAGAAATGCAGCCTTGCTGTGGATTTTTTTGCTTTGATTCCCCTAAGGATTCTGAGCTCAGCCACTCACTACTCCTGCCCCCTACCCGGAATGTTGCCCCCACGGGGAAGCACATCACTGCCCCCACTCTCGGAGGACTTGCTTCCGTCTGGCCAGGCCCAAAAGTCTAGGCCAGGGGTCAGCAAACCACGGTTCGAGAGCCACATGCGGCTCTTTGGCCCCTTGAGTGTGGCTCTTCCACAAAATACCATGAGTGGGTGCAAGCGAGCACATACAGTGCGATTGAAACTTCATGGCCCATTGCGGAAGTAAAAAAAATCTCAAAAGAAATTTCAATCATTGTACTGTTGATGTTTGGCTCTGTTGACTAATGAGTTTGCCGAACACTGTGCTAGGCTCATGTCTGACCTGAGGACCCCCCAGATGACCTGTTCTGGAGCCAAGGAAAGGGCTCAGGTGAGAGCCTCCTGCGGTAGCTCCGGGGCCCCCGTCAGAGCAGACCTGGGAGTCTAGGGAGCTTGTGTCTTAACAAATCCTGAGAGGAGAGGCGTGACCCCACACTCAGGGACAACTGTCTCTTTCCCAGCACATAGAACCCCTCCCAAAAAGAGCCCCCACTGAAGGGCCCCCGAGGGGAGGGGGTGGAAAATGCCCCATCTACACGCAGCATATGGATGCAGAAGAGTGAGGGCCCGCTCATGGGTCACTCAAGCCTGAGTGGGCCCTAGTTCCACCTCCTAGCAACCTTGTCATCCTGGGCAAGTCACTTAATAAACCAGAGTCAAATGGGACACCCAGTGCCAACCTTCAGGGGTGCTGGGCAATGCTGGATGAAGTCATCGTCAGTTTTCTCTCTCTCTCTCTCTCTCTCTCTCTCTCTCGAGTTTTTTACAGAGAGGAAGGGAGTTAGAAACATCAATGAGAGTGAAACATGGATCAGCTGCCCCCTGCACACCCCGTCCTGGGGATGTGCCCACAACCAAGGTACATGCCCTTAACCTGAATCGAACCTGGGACCTTTCAATCCGCAGGCCTGAACGCTCTATCCACTGAGCCACACCGACTAAGGCCAGTTTTCTCTTTTTAATCCTCTGGAGAACCCAGAGGCAGGTCCTCTGGCCAGAAGAAGGATCTTTTCATCTGCTGTGCACCCAGCCCCGCACCAAAAAATGCTCTGAAAGTTTCCTCCACCCTCCAAGGATACCCTCCCTGCTTCGTGCCCAGCGAGGGGCACCAGCGGCCACCACCGGAGCAGGGACGGGGCCTCCCAGCTCAGACGAGGCGCCTGGCCCACGACCTTGGAAGAACCTGGGAGAGAGAGAGCCTCCCCGGACGACAGTACTTTTCCACTGCGCCGCTCGGGCCACCTCGGCTGGCTCTCTCGGTGCAGACAGGAGGCTCGGTGCGCCAGGCCGCCCCACCAGGAACCCACCCAAACCACTGAGGCCCTGGGGCCGGGACACGCCGTGCTGAGCGGCAGGGGGGATCCTGGAGAGAGAGGAGGGGTCGCCGGTGCAGCTCTGGGAGCTGGGAGACCCCCAGGGAGGCCGGAGGAATCTGCATTGGCAAAGCCCTCCCTGCGCTGCAGGCGGCTCCATCGCCTCCCCCGCCCTGCAGGCCCCCACCCTCCGGTGATAATGATTAAATCCGCTCCAGCGCGCCTGTGCCGGGCTTGGGCTCGGAGCTGCGCTAGCTGGCAAGGGGGAGGAGAGAGGGGAGGGGACTAGACAGCTAGCGGTCCCGCCCGGTGATGCAGGCAGCAGCCCCGGGAGGTGGAGCCGCCAGCCCGAGGAGTCCCCGCCGCAGTCGCGCTCCGTCTGCCCCCCGGAGCCGCCGCCGCAGCCCCAGCTCCGGAGACCTCAGCTCGAAGCGTCCGGGACCCCGGGATCCGCCCTGCTCAGGCTTGGGGGCGCCCCCACCCCGCCCAGCCCCTGCCCCTGCCCCTCCTAGCTCCCCGGACGGCTGCGCGTCTCCCGGGGAAGCCGCTCCCGGACGCGGGGCCACCGCCCGAGCATCTCAGCTGCTGGCCCGGCTGGGCAGCGGGCATCTGCGAAGCTCGCCCTGGTTGGCACCGGCCACCTCCGGGCACCTACCGTCTCAGGCGCCGCCCGGCTTCTTGTGACTCCCGAGCCGTGAACTTCGCTCCCTCCCGGACCCCGAGGACGCCCGTGAGCCTCCGGCGACCCCAGCCCCTCCGGCCGCCGCCGCGATGCTGCCCTGGCGACGGAGCAAATTCGTGCTGGTGGAGGATGAGGCCAAGCGCAAGGCGAAGAGCCTGAGCCCCGGGCTCACCTACACGTCGCTGCTCTCCAGCTTCCTGCGCTCCTGCCCGGACCTGCTGCCCGACTGGCCGCTGGCGCGCCTGGGCCGCGTGTTCCGCAGCCGGCGGCAGAAGGCCGAGCTCACCCGGGAGGACCCCACCTACACCGTGTGGTACCTGGGCAACGCCGTCACCCTGCACGCCAAGGGCGAGGGCTGCACCGACGACGCCGTGGGCAAGATCTGGGCGCGCTGCGGGCCGGGTGGCGGCTCCAAGATGAAGCTGACGCTGGGCCCGCACGGCCTCCGCATGCAGCCGGGCGAGCGCGGCGCCGCGGGGGCCCCGGGGGGCGCGGGGGGCCGGCGGCCGGCGGCGCACACCTACCTGCTGCCCCGCATCACGCACTGCGCTGCGGACGGCCGCCACCCGCGCGTCTTCGCCTGGGTGTACCGCCACCAGGCGCGCCACAAGGCCGTGGTGCTGCGCTGCCACGCCGTGCTGCTGGCGCGGGCGCACCAGGCGCGCGCCCTGGCCCGGCTGCTCCGCCAGGCCGCGCTGGCCGCGCTCAGCGACTTCAAGCGGCTGCAGCGCCAGAGCGACGCGCGCCACGCGCGCCAGCAGCTCCTCCGCGCCGGGGGCGCCGCCGCCTCCGTGCCCCGCGCGCCGCTGCGCCGCCAGCTCAACGCCAAGTGCGCCTACCGGCCGCCCCCCGCCGAGCGCGGCCGCGGGCTGCCGCGCCTGAGCAGCATCCAGGAGGAGGACGAGGACGAGGAGGAGGAGGAGGACCGGGGCGCGGAGGAGCGCCCGGAGGAGGGGGCCCCCCAGCCCGAGCGGGCCGAGGTGCTCAGCCTGACCCGGGAGCTGAGGACGTGCAGCCTGCGGGGCGCCCCGGCGCCGCCGCCCGCACAGCCCCGCCGCTGGAAGGCCGCCCTGCGGGAGCGGGCGGGCCAGGCGCGCTGAGAGCGGGCCCGGCGGGACTCCCGGCCCCCAGGCCCGGCCGCTGGACACAGCCTCCAACCCTGGCCCCACCCGCTTGGCTCCTCCCTGGCCCCCGGCCCCTGCCCCCCTCGTGGTCTCCGTGGTCTGTTCTGCGCCTCATCCTGCCGCAGGGTGATGCCTGATATGCCCTTGGTTATGTGGGGACAAGTTGGGGGGAGGAATAGCCAAGGTTCACCTGTCCCCCTTCCCCTAACCTCAATCCGGAGTTTCTGGGCGCCCTCCATTGTGGAATTGCCTCCTACGCTTTACACCAAGTCTCTTTGATAGACAAAAAAAAAAAAAAAAATCCTCTCAAGATAAAGGGGGAGAAGTTTCCAGAAACCCAGAAGGGTAGCCTTGGACCTTGGCCAGGTGGAGGCAGTCTAGCCTTTCTCCCTGGATGAGGACGACCCAGCTGAGGCATTCCTGTAGGGGAAGAACAGTGGCTGGGGATGGAGGGCAGCCCCGAGATGGGAACTGAGAAAACTTGGCAGGCCCTGTGCCTGGCCTCCCTGCCCCCTGGAGAGCTCCTGGGACTTCACTGCTCCTCCTTGGAGAAGACTGGGATGGTTCTGCCAACCCAAACCACAGAGGAGGCTGGTAACAGCTCTTTGCACCAAGCCTGTGTCCGCACCTGGCATCCCCACAGGACTCCTCATCCACCCCATCTCTCTTCCGGCAGATGTGTGTGGTTCCCCACTAGATGTCCCACCACCGAGACCAAGACAGGGCCTCCAGAGGAGGTAAGGAGAGCCTTTGGCAGTGGTTTGGGGCCTCTGACTACCCGGAAGGTGGATGTAGGTGGGATGGCCCCAAGTGGAGGCTGGTCAGAGCAGGAGGGACCTGCCAGCAGCTGGTGAGGAAGGAGGGTGCGTATCCCCCGCAGAGGGAGTGGGCCCCTTGCCCAGGAGTCTGTCAACAAGGTCACAAAAAGCCCAAAGACCTATGTGTCACCAACTGATCAACTGTAAATAAAGTGGATTTCCTTTTTCAGCCTTGTCATCGTTCCTGTGTTGTGTTTGATGCCAGGCCTGCGGGGGGTGAAGAGATTCTCATCAGAGCCCTACAGGAAAGGAGGAGACCCCCCGAAAGCCGCCCCTTTAGCAGCGGGGACAAGCTCTCAGGGTCGGGGCGGGAGGTGGGCTGTGCCAGGGGGCTGTAACCTGGTGTCAGGGGATGAGACGGTGGCAGGAGCCTCCTCTGCAGGTCACATGTGTCAGGCCCCGGAGGAGTGCCCACTGCCTGTTTCAGCTTCCCTGGGAGTGTCTCCTCCTCTCCTCCTGGGTCCTCAGATGCCAGTGTCTCTGGGACGTTCTTGCAGGAAGAGAGCACTGGGCAGGGGGCTTCTCATCAGCTATGTATCTTTGAGAAGGTTCCTGTGTCTATCAAAACATGTTATGCACACTGTCTCCTCGGGGCTGAGAAAGGAGGCAGACTGTAAAGGAGAGAGGCGAGAGGGAGGGAGGGGCTGGCTGGTATGGCTCAGTGGTGCACCTGCACACTGATTCCCAGTCAAGGGCTTGTACCTGGTGGCAGGTTTGATCTCCAGCCCAGGGGGAGGCCACCAGTGGATGTGTCTCTTTCACATCTCTCTCTCTCATCCTTCCCAACCTACCAACACGCTCTCTAAAAATCAATGGAAAAAATATACTGAGGTGAGGATTAACAACAATAGGGAGAGGGGTTGTGGGCAACCCACTTTTTTCCAGAGGAGCTGGAGAAACCTGTCCAGACCTTTGTGGCGGTGTGCACCTTGGGGTGGGAAAGCTTTAGTCCTTGCCGAGCTGGGCACTGATCCCAGAGTTACCCAGAGCCCAGACGCGTGGCCTCTGCCATCGCCAGTGAGCATGAGTGCTGTTTCCTGGAGCTGCGGGCACAGAGGGCACCGCTGCCACTTCGCCCTGGGGGTGCCAGGCGTGGTCCGGGGACTGGAGGGGACAGCTGGGGTTGACTCCACGGGCTCGGGGTGAGGAGGGGTGACAAGGATGCCCTGCATGGTCGTTGCTTCCCTCTGACATCATGGCAGGAGGCTTGTTCGTGTTTCTCCACATCGGCAGGAGGAGAAAAGGAAGGAGGAGGATGTCAGACCTGGGAGAGGAGAATGGGCCGTGGGCAAGGCAGCCTCTGGGGTGAGAGACACAAGGTCACGAGCATGTCCTCTACTTGTGTTTGTGCCGCAGACATTTACTCGGTGCCTGCCTTGGGACAGGCACCGAACTCGGCTCTGGAGTCCAGGGGTCCCTCCCTCGTGGCTCCCACAGTCTCCAGTGAGGTGCACATGAGGAGAGGAGCCGTTCCTATGTGATCATTCAGAGACATGCTCTCAGCCTCAGTGCCTGTTCACACACACACACACACACACACACAGCTACCTCCTTCCTCCTCTTGCTCACCCTCTGCTCTGAAGGCCCAGGTGAGAGGACTATCATCTCTCCTCACCTCCTGGGTGACACTGAGCAACTCCCTCAGCCTCTCTGGGCCTCAGCCTTATCAGTGGTGAAATGGGGAGACTGTGTACCTTTCAGGCTGACTGCCAGAATTAAACAGAATCACGTCTTTGAAAAGTGCTTTGGTAAATAATAAAACGCCCAGCACACGTGGAGACAATCATGTTACCCAGAGGGCCTGCTCTGTGGAGGGGGTTTTATTGTGCCTTCCTCAGCCCCCCATTCCCTGGCAGCCTGGACCTGGGATTGATGATAAGATAAGCCACCAGGGAGCCAGTACAGTGCCAACTGCCACCAGGTCGCAGGGTGGGGTGTTTGGTGCTCCAGCCCCAGGGCCCAGGCATCGTTGCTACAAAACCTGGGAGACCGGGCCCACTGCCATCTTCCCTGATCTCAGACCAAAATGGCAAAGAGCCCTGAACCACTGGTCAAGCAGTCTGGGGCCCCCTCGTCTCTTCTGGCTTCAGCTTCCCCACCTGTAAAGGAAGATTGGGAGAAGGTGGACAGTGGTTTTCAAACTGGGTTCCTCCGAGTCCTAGATTTCCCAGGGTGCTGTTGGAGCTGCTGTAGGACCCATGGGAGATGGAGTGGGAGCCTCTCTGTTTTCTCCTTGGGGTTCCTGTGATTCTTTGAATAATGGGATCCTATAGATACTTCTTTTCAGGTTTAAATCACTGAGAGACATGCTCTCTAAACTTCCCTCCCAGCTCCGGTGCCATATGTGTTTATGGGCTGAGATATAACATTGGAGGGTGTACAGGTGGCAATGGAGGGCTTGCTGAGAACAGGCAGCCCAGGGCCAGGTGGGAAGTGTGACCCCAGCTAGGCCAGCCATGTGGGGTCAAGACTCCTCCCAGGACCTCTGGGCCTGATTCCCAGCTCTCTCCAACTGGCTCCAGGGGGCTAGGCTGTGACTGATGTGATTTATGCCACAGCACAGCTCACAGATCAACGGGCCGGCCCACCACCAGTGCCATCCTGACCACTGCTTCTCTTCCACGTGTGGACCTGTCCCCGTTCCCCAGACAGAGCCACGTGTTCCCACCATTAAGCTTGTGCCCATGCTATTCTCGTGACCTGGAAAGCCCTGCCCTCGGGCTATACATTTGCAAATCCTACCCTCTCTTCAAGCTCAAATTCCACCTCCTTGAATCTTTCCTTAATGCACACCCTTTGTCCACTCCTGCCAAACCTGGGGGTGGCTCTTCTCAAACTCACTCAGGCCATGGCCTGTGCTTCCTCGTGGTCCTCCTGCTACGAGTGCACCTGGGTTGGCTGTTGCTGTGTAAGTGTCTTGTCTCTCATACTGACCAATCTTCATTTCCCATCCCCTCCACGACCTTGACCACGGCAGGGCAGGGAGTCGGTGCTCAGTGATAGTCTGTTGAATGAATACATGAATGAATGAGTCGGATGGATAGGACACCGTGAAACAGGGAAGCAAGTGGGTGGAGAAGCATTCCCTCTGCCAAGCTTCTGCCCTGAGATGCTGAAGAACTATCCTCAGACGCCCTGCTCAGACAGACGGCTATTCTTGGGGAGAAAATCAGCAGCCTAAGAGATGAGGCCTGGGTGGGAAACTGAGGCCTCTGGCCATAGGATGAGGCCTTCCCACTCTGAACTAGTCCAACCCCCGGCACAGGGCTGACACTCAAAATACAGAGCAGCTCCTGGCGGCTGCCCAGATGTACAGCTGGGCAGCGAAGGACCGTCCAGACAGCTGCTGGCTCTAACACGCAGGCGGTCCAACCTGGGCTTGGACCTCAGTCAGACCTGGATGCTGGTCCCCGCTCTGCCACCTGATGGCTGTATAACTTCTGAAGGCCTTGATTTTCCATCTGTAAAAACAGGGATAGGTGAGTCTAGACCTTACACAGTTATTGGGAGAAAGAAGTAAGGTGGTGCATTTGAGTAATATATTTATAACAAGGCTTGATGCACCCAATAAGTGATAGCTGCTACTGTTGTTTGTTATTATCATCTTAACAAAGGCACCACCTCACTGACAACTCTGGGATTAGGAGATCAGGTGCCTGGTCTCTTGAGACACTAAATATGTTGCTTGTTGCTTGTTCCTGCCCCTATAGTCCACCTGCCTACAGTCCTATCCATCTCTAAATCATGGTAACAGATTCAACCATAGGCTGTCTTATTTCTGCCTCTAGTTGTTCAACAGATGTAAGCCTCATTGCCTTAACGCTAGACCCGACCCAATATCTTAGGTTTTCTGTACATCCTTTTCCTCACAGCACCCAGCACAATGCCAGGCACATAGTAAAGCACCTAGAGGTGGGTGGGTGGATGGATGGGTGGATGGGTGAGTGAAAAGCCGCTGTTAGCTGCAATGTTGGCAGGTAGCCTCCACAGCCAAGGTCTTCAGAAATCAGGATGCCATTCCTTTGTGAGGGATGAGCCAGCTTTCCCCTCGCCCCATGCCCTGTTTGCCCTTAGCGATAGGCTATGGGGAAGAGGAAGATGCCACTGGCTTAGGAAGAGAGATGGAAACATCAATGATGAGAGAGAATCATTGGTCAG